CAGTTTGCTCCCCTCTCTGTAAAGAAAAAGAAAATTCCTTCACTGGTATACAATTCCCCCATCCCTTCCTCCCCAGCCCCCACCCGAGTACACTTCTCTAAGCAACCTTAATTCTGGATTCCTGTGCTAACCACAATAATCATATATCGCCTCTAATCTGTTATTTCCTTTTAAAAAATTATTATTTATTTATATCATCATTCACTTTTACATAATTATTCACATACATTGCTTCATTCATGTACATTTTGTTTTATACAATCATTTCTCTACATTGTGTTTTATACAATTAATTATTATTGGTCTAGGGAACTTTAAAAAAACACTACCTTTATATTTGAACTAACTCATCATTATTTCAAACATTTGGCAACTAATTTCCTGTTTCAACAACTTGATACTTAAAAAAAAAACCCTACATATAGAAGAGTTTAAAGTACACGTCAAACACACAATATTCAGGTCAGATATTCTTTCCACCTCCACTTCAGGGATGAGGAAACTGAGGCAAGAATTTGCTAAAGTTGACAGCAGAGCAGCATTCTGAATTCCTGATTTCTGTTTCCAAAACTAGTGCTCTCTATACCAATTTTCTCTCATCGAACAGATTGAACACAGTCACATTATTAAAAGTGACAGTGAAATATAAATTTCAAATTAATACTAACACTCTTGGTATGAGCAGTCAGGAAATAAGGAAACACAATGCACTGGGAAAATCTGTAGATAGGGACCTTTCCAAATTACTGAGGAATAGTGATGCCAGTTTGAGGATTAGGGTTTATATGATTCAGTCCATGGTCTTTCAGATTACTCACTATGCATCTGAGACCTGAACAATGAATTAGGATGACAGAAAAAGAATTGATGCCTTTGAGTTGTGGTGTTGGATAAGAGCACTTAACATCCCATGGACAGCCAAGAAAACAGATATGTCTTATAGAGGGTGCAACTGGAATGTTCTTTGGAGTCAAGAATGATGAGGCTTCACCTCACATACTTTGAACATACTACTAGAAGGCACTATTCCTTGGGGAAGGACATGATGTTGGGAAGGGTGGAGGGTTGGTGAAGGAGAAGACAACTCTCAACCAGGTGGACTGACAAAGGTGACTGCTGCAATGGGCTATTGTGTGTAAGGAAGTGTGAGGATGGTGCAGGACAGAACTAGGTTCAGATCTTTTGTTCATAGGGTTGCTATGAGTTGTACTCAACATGATGACACCTAACAACAACAACATAAGTCCTAACAAGATATGCCAATATTTATGTAAGTATCTACACTTTAAGCAAGCACATTATTCTTAAAATGCCTTGAATTTCTGCATACCTTTCTTGTCATTTTTTGGTGGATTATTTTCTCTTAAATCCTCTTCCTGTTTTTGCTTTACTGATTGTTTTGCTTTTTCTTTTTGGAGCTTTCTCATTAATTTCTTCTCTTCTTTCTCTTTCAGCTTTTCTAGGCTGATAAACATTTATGATTAGTAGTAGCTCACCTTTGTTAGAAGCTCAATAAACTATTCTTCTTGGTCTAATTCTCCTCTGAACTTACATCTTGTGTTCACATGAACAATTGTTGGTACAGTCAGCCAATGCAGGTAAAACAAGGGCACTTGTTTCATGAAAGAACCTCATTCACTGAATGACTTACTTCGGTATGGCATATACAAATTGTAAAGACACTATTTCCATATTCATTAGTTACTGCTTAATGTAAACAAACAGTGCAAGTTACTCTGAAAAAATACTATTATATAAACACTCATTTCAAAGAATAACTTTATAATAAAATATTCTTTTCACATTCTAAGAATGACTTACTACATCAGAATTTAGTTGATCTGATTACTTAGAACACTTTCAATAGCATAAATAATTCTTTTCATCTTTTCTTTTGCTTTGTCTTGTTCACAAATATTTTTTTCAAAAAAGAAAGAGATCATTTCTTACAAAAACAAAAACAACAAAAGTAAACAAACAAACAAAAAAAGGATTGATTTACTGGCTCTGAACAAGACACACAAAATAATTCAGATTGTCACAGAAACAGTAGTATTTCCAAACTAAGAAATAGTCATTCATTTAAAACACGTAATAAAGAGAGAAAAATTCTTTTGGAATTAAAGTTCAAATAACAGAATTATGTATAAATTTTTTATCTGAATGTCCAATCTATTTATCAAATATATAACTTTACAACATCAAACGTTATAATTTTACTCAACAAATTCAACCATTAAATAATGCCTGTAATTAAGAATTTAAATAGCAATTCTAGATTAGCTTTAGAAATCTATATTATTAGTTTAAAAACTATATACTTGGATATATGAACGCACTTAAGTATATATGGAAAGCCAATTTAAAAAGCAGCATAATTTAGAAACTTGCATTTAATGAATTATATTTTAAAAGACAACATGAAACAGATTATTAAAAATCTTACCTAGAACATTTCTGTTTCAGAATAGGTCTTGGAGGAAACTTTTCTTTTATGACCTTGTGTTCAAACTTTAAATACAAAGAACAAAACCAAAATTTGTCTCATATTCCCATGACGCAAAGCACAAAATCACAAGTAACAAGAGTTTCAGAAGTGCACAAGTTAATTCCAACCAGTGACATTTTGACCCTGACAAAAGAGCCCAGAAAGCTTTAGCAAAACAATTTATTGGGGGAAAAAAAGAGTTACAGACAAACTTAAAGAAGGGGTGGGGGGGGATAAAACCCCAAATTAAGAGTAAGCAGAGTATCAGGTATAAGTATCATTGCAACTTCCCACAACTGCTCATCCGTCCTGACTCACCACCCACACCCTAAGAAGCTATGCCTCCTCCTACATTCAACAGTTTACTTGGGATTAAAAAACCAAAGTTATATTTCAGCAAAGCATTCCCTCATCTTAATATTTCCTCTGTTTTCATAAATGTATTAATTATTTGTATTCTAGGAAAAGATAAGATCCAAATCACACAAATTTCACAGCTTTAAAGTTTTAAAAGTAGTACGCATTTTGGTCATCAATTTAATATGATTTTTCCCTTATTAGATACTCACTTCACATTTAATACGACCTTTACAGTTGATAACGGTGATCTTACAAATGATACCTTGGCAGTCAGGGGTAAGACATCCTGTATTTAGAAAGTCCTAAAAGGTTTAAAAAAAGAATAATTTATGTCTTTGGTGGATAAATCTATACACGTTTATAATTAAGTCAAAATATGGTCTTAAAGCCTCCTTCTTTCAGGGAAGCAACAGAAGCTTCTCTTGGTCATCAAGTGTAACTTCAGCACCTTCCTACAGGAGGAATATACTTCCATTGTAAGGCTGACCTGGGACTTGCTGTGCAAAAGTCAATGCAAAGTGAGCTGACATGATATATATCCTATCTAATCTAGTGGATTTACAGAAAGTTATTTAAATCACAGAGAACACTAATAAGAGTGTTCTGAGAAACTCTTATACAACAAAGACGCACCAACAATGACTTGATAACAGTAATTTGGTAGTATTTTAGTATTAATAGTCAACTTTATGAAAACATAGTTTGGCAATCTCCTTCTGTGCTATCAATTGCCTCTGAGAACCTGCTGGAGGGTCACTATGCGTCAGTTCTGACTCAAGGAAACACATCAATATGTAAATGTAGGGAGTTCTGATGGCACAGTTCACAGAAAGCCACACTGCTGGCCAAAAGGCCATTGTCCCTCTGCCAGTTCAAATCGACCAGTCGCTCCTCATGGGAAATTGGGTGATCCACTCCTGTGTGATTCATTGCCCCTTAAAATCTATTGATGGTCACCTAATAAACAGTTCTTATTCGACAGCAATAACTGACTGACTGATAAGAAAATCTAAGAATTTCTTTATCCCCAACTTGAATAATTCCTACCCCAGCAAAGAACTAACACAACTCCTTATTTTTTATTCCAATAACCAGAGTGGTCTACGTGAACTCAGCACTATAGGAAAACATTTTCTTTCTTTCTGCCACCAATAGCTTAAAAAGAAAAGAATCAATGTCTGTGAACCAGGTAAGATATAAAATTGTGTCTTCTCTCAAAGAAATTAGATCTAATGTTAACCAACATCATTACCTTGATAATTATGAAGCTAAACTCCGGTAAGAAGTAACAATACAAAGTTTAAGCTGATTTTGTAGCTCGAATTACTGGATCAATTTCCAGACTGTAATTAAATTCAAAACTTAAAGTAATTAAAGCGATGAACTTTAACCTGTTAGCAAATAATTTAAAACACACATTTTGAAATCAGGTATTTAATTTTTTTTATCATAGCATATTAAACACAAAAGATGGTTAAACAATACTGCATAACTCCACTGTTATAAAGCAGGACGGACATAGGGGCTTGGAGGGAAACTAGGAAAAGAGTGGATAGAGAATGGACACTGCATTGGAATAGATGAGAGAAAGAATGCTTTAAAAGGAATATATGATGAGGCTTGGAAGCAGGAGTGGCATCCACTTCATAAACAGCATGCTTCCGGAAATGATGAACTTTGATAAATGTTGACAGTTGAAGAGGTGCTTTAGGCCTTCTGTTCATAGTGTCGCTATGAGTAGTGCTCAAATCGAAGGCAAGCAACAACAACAACAACATATGACTGGGCATTATATGTATAACAATAGTCCAGAATAAGAGGTGTGTTGCAAAGAGGACTGGGGAAGGGTGAAGGGAGGAGGAAGTAGGAAAACATGCAAAAATGAATGAATGAAAATCTAACTTTTCTGTAAACTTTCATTAAAAATCAAAATTTAAAAAAGAAGGGAAAAAAAGATGGTCAAACAATAAACAATCCATTAATTGTTTCTTGGAGTACTATCATACTTTTAAAAAATAAAATAAAACCCTTTCTTTTCTTCACTATTAAGTTTTAATTTAACATTTTCTAACTATGTCTAAAAAGCTCAGGAATAAATTAATAGTCTCTTCAGACTCTTTTTTCCTGAGGATTCTTGGGAGGGAATGATTATTTAACTGCTACTGATGGGTTGACTATGACTCACAGTGGGCCTATGAAGAGATCAAAACATGGCCCTATCTTGTGCTATCCTTACAATCTATGCATTATTGTTGTTATGTGCCATCGAGTTGCCTAAGACTCATAGCAACCCTGTGTACAACAGCCCTAAATCCTGCTCTATCCTGTGCCAATCTCAATGTCTCTGAAACACCTACCCCCATTACCCCAGTCATTGAATCAATTCACCTTATTGAGGGTCTTCCTCTCCTGCACTGTCCCTCCACCCTTCCAAGCATGACGTCCCTCTCCACTGACTGGTCCCTCCTTGCAACACATCCAAAGTATATCAGATGAAGCTTCTGAATCCTTATCTCCAAGGAGCATCCTGGTTTCACCCTCGCCAGGTTGAACCTGTTTGTTCCCTTAGCAGTCCATGGTATATTTAATACTGTTCTCTAACACCACAGCTCAAAGGCATCAATTCACCTTCTAATCATCCCTAGTCAAAAGGATCTAGACAGTAATATTATATCTTACCTTGTCCTGTTTATCACCAAAGTTTAATGCTTTTAACTTCTTCCAACAGTTCATGTGAAATTCGACTTTACAGATCTGGCTACAAAGGAGTCGAACAAAGCCCTAGAGTGTAAAAATACTTTTAATTTACACTCCAAATTTGTCTACACACAATAAGACAAAATTTGCTGTCTGCATTCACCTGACAATACAACTAAACACTACTGCTTCTCCTCAAGTATACAACTCCCCTGGACTCCAGAAAGTCTACACCCATAGGGCCAAATGCATAAAGCTTGACTGACAGATTTCATTCAGAAACTGACAACTGCATACCAAATATGGTAAAATAGGAAATAACATTTTAAATAATTTTCCAAATTATTTCATGATTTTAAATTATGGTAAATAACTCTTCATTGCATACCAAATATTTTATAAACACAATTTCCTGTGATTTATGAGCCAGGAAGAGTGGGATGATGGGCAAGTTCTAGTTTCTTAATAAATAAAGATTTTAGTCTTTAGATGATTAAGATCTAAAGAAGTTCAGAGAAAGGGACAGACAAGAGGACATAAATCTGTAATCTAGAGAACTGGGGTCTCTAACTGAATCCATTTTAGAGCATATGCTCTTATAATTTAAAGTCCCACTGTATACTCAGTTGTTATTAGCCATTGTTGAGTAGGTTCCACTTGACAGGGACACAAGTTAGAACGGAACAGAACCCTGCCCGATCACGTACCACTCTCACAATCCCTGCTGTATGTAAGCCCATGGTTGCAGGTACTGCATCGATTCAACCCATCGAGGCTTTTCCTCAGTAGTTACCTTAAAGTCTGGATCACTTATATAGATCTGGATTTTGACAGATGTACAGTGTTGGTGATAGGAACAAATACCCTCTGGCTCTGGAGGGAACCTGCACTCTTCAATAAATTTTTCTAACAGCTCCTAAAAGAAAAATGTTATTGTTATAACACGAATGAGTTAATAAAAATGCTTTGGATATTAGTAACTAACTCCATTAGAATAGACATTAAACTAGTTTTCAGAAATTTCCTGCCATGTTAGCATAGGAATGAGTACTTTTTTAAAAACCCATAAACAAACAACATACCCCTTTTATAATTATTTTTAAAAAGAGGTCAATATAAAAAATGGTCAGAGATGTTGGGGGAGAAGGGAAAGCCTGGATAAGACAATATTTTTTGATGATTTCAAAGTCCTCATTTCAATCTTGCCCAGTATTAGAATCATCAAACCTCATTTCAAAATCCAAAGTGCTGAGAAACTTTCCCTAAGGATTTAGAGAAGAAGTCAAGTAAGTTAGAATAACCCTGAAGACAGACCACACACTCTACTATTCTCTCCATCTCTGAATGTCAACTTGACCTAGGATTCTAACAGTTCATTTGTCTGGCTCCTTGAATTCCTCCCATGCAAGCTTAGTCACTTCCTGGAAATGAGCCTGTTGCTACTGAGGATGTTATGTTTCTAGTGCAAAGTTTTGTTATTAACAGGTTCCACTGCCTCCACTGAGCATAGAACCTGACTGTCTTCCCTTGATGAGCAAGAAGCTCTGAGGGCGTAGTCCTTAGACAGCTGCCATTAAAATCCAAAGGTG